CTTTGTTTCCATATTTTCTTCTATTTTCACTCTCTGTCTCTCTCTCTCTCTTTTTTTTTTTTTGGTACCAGGGATCAAACTCAGGACCTTGTGCTTGCAAGGCAAGCACAGTACCACTGAGCTAAATCCCCGGCTATTTTCACTCTTTTCTAGTCCCTTCCTTCCTTTCTCTCTTCCTCCTCCTTTGTTCCCCTTCCCATGTGGACACTTTCTTCCCATTCCCCAACATCTACTATACATTTTAGTCCTTATTTCCACTTTCGGTTTCTTGAACCAGAGAAACAGTGTGATATTAAAACACATGTGACTGATTTATTTCACTTAAGAGTATAGTTTTGGGCAGGAGATTTAGCTCAGTGGTGCTGCCACTTGCCTGGAAAGTGCAAGGTTCAGAGTGCGATCCCCAGTACCAAAAAAAAAAAGTATAGTCTCAAGGTCCATCCATTTAGCTATAAAAGTCTGAAGCTCATCCTTCTTTATGGCAGAGTAGTACTCCATTTTATTTTAAAAAAACACATCTTTTGACAGGCATTTGGGCTGTTTCCAAGATTTAGGTGTTACAAACTGTGAAGTGCTGTGCAATTTTTGGTATTAAAACCAATGCTAAGTTTTACTACTATAAACAATTACATATATCCCCAGATCTCTATCTGTCTGAGTTTCTCAATTCATCTAGGTTTCTGTTCAAATGTCACCTCCTCCAAATAGCATTCCTTGCTCTTTTCTCCCCCTCCTCTTCTTCCTCTTCCTCCTCCTTCTGGGACTGGGAATTGAATTCAGGGTCTTCACGGTCATTTACATCCCCAGCCCTTTTTTATTTTGAGATGGGGTCTGACTAAGTCACTAAGTTACCCATGCTGAGTTTGAACTTGTGATTCTCCTGTCTCAGGCTCTCAGAGTATTGGGATTACAGGAACGTGCTAAACATCTCACCACTTTTTAGTCCCTCACCCTGCCCTTTTATTTTTTTTAACAGCATTTGTCACTACATGACATTTCTTTTTCTTGTTTTAAAGACATGGTCTTACTAAGGTGCTTAGGCTGGCCTCAAATTTTTGATCTTCCTGCCTCAGCCTCTCAAGCACCTGGGAATACAGGCATCCACTACCACCCCTGGCTACTATAAGATAGTTATCTGTTTACTTATATATTATCTGTCTCCATTGGAAGCCTCAAAAATTTCATGAAGGTAAAGACTCTTGCATAGCACTGCTGTATTCCAAATCTTCAGAAGAGTGTTGGGCTCATAGCAGAATCCCACTTAGGTGTGTTTTTTTTTGTTTTTTTGGGTTTTTTTGGTACTGGGGATCGAACTCAGGACCTTGCATTTTTTTTTTTTTTTGGTACTGGGGATCGAACTCGGAACCTTGCACTTTCGAGGCAGGCGCCGGAACCACTGAGCTAAATCCCCGGCCCAGGACCTTGCACTTTTGAGGCAGGCATCAGCACCACTGAGCTAAATCCCCAGTCCTTCCCACTTAGTATTTACTGAATGAACTAGTAATACAGCAATAAATCCTCATTTATATATTTATCTTTGTAAATATATACACGTTTTGGTAAACTTGCTGAACCAAAGAGTACGAACATTCAGCTGGGAATTTAGCTCAGTGGTTCTACTGCCTGCCTTGCAAGGGCAAGGACCTGAGTCCAATCCCCGGTACCAAAAAAAAAAAAAAGATAAATTGTGACAGAAATCACCAAAATAATCTTTTAAAAATTGTACCAATTCCTACTTACCCCAAAAGTAGATAAGAACACACAACCACCAGGACATAGGATATATCAGTCTTTGTATCTTTTCCTCTTGATTTGAGAATTTAAGATACGTTTGGGTTTTGTTTTTGTTTTGTTTTGTTTTTTGGTACCGGGTATCAAACTCGGATCCTTGAGCTTGCGCAGCAGGCGGTGAACCCACTGAGCTAAATCCCCGGCCCCTACGTTTGGGTTTTATGGTAAAACAAAAAGGTTGCAAGTCTGGCTCCGTGTAGGTCCACTTCACACATTCACAGCACTGAGTGTGTGCGGCTGTCTGCACGGAGGACCCAGACATGGCGCTGTCTCATTAGCTTGGCCTGCGGCCTTGCTTTTGTCAGTCTCCCAAGTAACTCTCATCCTTCGTTTTAGCCTTTTTTTTGGTACGGGAATCAAACTCAGGACCTTGTGCTTGCCAGGCAGGCACAGTGCCACTGAGTAAATCCCCACCCTACTTAGCCCATTCTTGCTGGAGTAGGAGGAACCAGGCTTTCAGCCAGTAGCAGCGCATTCTCAGGAAAATAGTCTCCACGATGCTCTCTCTCTCTGTGATTGTGTATGTGGGCATTTTTTAAACCACTTTGATTTTTTTTTCTTTCTATTTTTTAAGAGCTGGGGATCAAACCCAGGGCCTTGTGCACATTGAGCAGAAGCTCTACCACTGACTGTATCTCCAACTCAGTGGTTTTTCTTCATCTGTAAAATATGAATAAAAATACCCTTTTAAAAGAGTTTTTGTAAAGATGAAACAAGACAAATGAGTTAACACTTCTGATTCAGTGTCTGTCATATTAGCTGGCACGAAAATGCCTTCCCCTCTCCCAGGTCCCTCTGAAGCATCCCAGCTCTTTGTAGCACTTATGACATTTAGGTAATGTGCAGTTGCTAGGCTACAGGTTGTTTTTTTTTTTGTACCAGGGATCAAACTCAGGACCTTGCGCTTGGGAGGCAGGCGCAGCGCCAATGAACTAAATCCCCGGCCCAAGACTGAAGGACTCTTTATTCTCGGGCCCCAGTCCTTTATCCGGTAGCTGGCTTATCAGCAGGTCTCGGGCCCATTGTGAATGGATCGGGGCTCTCTGAGACAGAACCAATGCGGAGTGACGAGGTGCTGGCTCCAGACCTAGTTGGGGTTGGGGTTGAGGTAGCCAATGGGGCAGGTGGAACCTGAGGACGGTCTACTGGGGTGTCCTCTGGCTTGGGAAGGGGAGCTTACTTTTTCATTCTGGCCAGACATTCCACTGATTGAAGGAGCCCCACCACACCATGGAACCAGCTTTATGGATGGAAGTGTTAACCTCGTGCAAAACAGCTGACACAAACATGCCCCACCCCTGCCCCACCCCTGCCCGCTGAGTTCGAATCCCCGTGTGCACGCCTCGCCGAGGGGTGTGCAGTTCCCGCGAGAGAACTTCAGCTCCTCCGAGCGCGGCCTGCGGTCACCGCCCACGGAGCCCCGCCCCTCCCGGACCTCCCGCTGTGGAACTGCGCTCCAGCTTCCCTCTGTCCCATGCTTGTCTGCTCTCGGCTAGTCCTGCCCTGCGAAATCTACACTGTCATTGCATTCCTGTTTCCACCGCAAAGCCACTTGGACCACGGGCTGTCACGGGGTAGACCGTAAAAAGGTCGCTCACAGCCGTGACAACCTTCGGGCCTATGCTGCCCCTCCGAGGCCCCAGCCCCGCAGCACGCCTCGCGTCTCCCGCCTCCCACTGTCCGGTCCGCGGCGAGACGATCCCAAGACCCCTCGCGAGACGGCCTGAGGAGGCAGTGGAATTCTATAGGTGGTTCTTGAATATGGTAGACACGCAATAGATGACTGCCAGGTGGAGTTGATTTCTACATTTAGGAACCAGTATCCTTCTTCCATGTTCATGTGTATGCTACCGACTGGCTGATAACATCCCACAACTGGATACTTTCTACCCAACTCGCCACTGGAAGAGCTCATCTCTCAATCATGTCAGAGCTGAATGCAGCCTTTCACAGAACTTTAAAATTGACTCCGACTGATTCATTAAAACATAGTGATACTCAAACAAGCTCCTGCTGCTAACAAGACCAGCATGGGCTGTCTGTCTTTCCTCCCTTCCCTTAGGGCCCCTTGACTCACTGGAGAAGAGTCATCACAGCTTTTGTGCTGCAGTAATCTCAACAAAGCTGGTTCAAATAATCACAATGTGGCCAGCAAACAACTAGCAGTTGCAGCCGGTCCTCTTGGCCGTCCAGGTCATTTCCTGTGTATGTCACAACCCCAAGGGAGAGGCAGTTAATCAATGACCTCCAATGTGTTTTCAGTGTCTAGATTCTCTTGGGCACTCATGATTCCTTTTGTGTAGGACATTTCTGTAAAGTGACCTTTTTAGTTATTGCAACTCATTTAAAGTACAGAGGAAAGTGGCCCTTTGTGCCTCTGTATAGAAAAAAGGAAATATTGGAGAAAATGGGACTACATGATTCAATCCCAATAGAAAGGAGTTATAAAATAGCCAATAGGAAGGAACCATAATGTTTTGCTGCTCTCTGCTTCAGGGAGTGATAGATTTTATTTTTGTTTTTGTTTTTTTGGTACTAGGGATTGAATTTGGGACTTTCCGCTTTTGAGGCAGGCAGTGGAACCACTGAGCTAAATCCCCTGCCCCAAGTGATAGATTTGAAATTGGTTGGTTGAGAACTCCCCTATTACCTAGGAGTGATGTCAGCAGTATTTTCTCTTGAGAAAGGTCTTGCAGTTGGTATCATTGCCTGACTGACTGCAATAGACTCCTGTCTTTGAGATGAGATCCTTGGGGCCAGGGATTTAGCTCAGTGGTAATGTGCCTGCCTTGTAAGCACAAGGTCCTGAGTTTGAACCCCCATTCTGGGAAAAAGAGAAAAAAAAAAAGAGATCCTAAGGCTGAGAGCTACTAATTGGAAGGAGGCACGAGGGCTTCTTTTTTTCTTCTTTGGTACTGGGGATTGAACTTGGGACCTTGCACTTGTGAGGCAGGCGTCGGAACCACTGAGCTAAATCCCTGGACCTATTGGTTTATTTTTTGAGACAGGGTCTCACTATATAGTTGAGGCTGGCCTTGAATTTGCCACAGTCCTCCTACTGCAGCCTTCCGAGTGCTGGGATTATAGGTGTGCACCATCAAGTCTGGTCCTGATTGATTGATTGAATTTTTTTTTTTTGGTACCGGGAATTGAACTCAGGTCCTTCTGCTTTTGAGGCAGGCGGCAGAACCACTGAGTTAAATTCTTGGTGATTGATTGATTTCTACTGGAGATTGAACCCATGGTCTTTGCAATGAACTACATCCCTAGCTGCCCTCCTTTTTTTTTTTTTTTCAATTGTGGGACAGGGTCTCAGTCACTAGGTTGTCTAGGCTGGGTCTGAATGTCCATCCTCTCATCTCAGTCTCCCACAATGCTGGGATTTTATCTCACTGTGCCAAGCACTGCTCTTATTTGATTATTTTACCTGACTGTGCACAACTCAACTATCTATCCATATCAAGGAAACTTATTTTGAGGACACCAGAAGTCACACATTGTATTTATTGATTTTAAAACCTTAAGTCTGAAGCTAGCCTGGACTACAATAGCGAGTCAAGGCCAGCCTGAAAGCAAGACTGTCTCAAAACAAAACCAAAAGTAGATTTTTTTTTTTAAAGTACAGATTATTCTTTTTGGGGGGGGTTACCGGAGATCGAACTCAGGAACTTCCGCTTGTGAGGCAGGTGCCAGAACCACTGAGCTAAATCCCCAGCCTCAGATTATTCTTAAACAGCCTTGCTATAATCAAAAGCACACTTATATCATTTATTGAACACTATCTGTGAGAGAAAACGCTCACCTGATGTCTAACGTGCTGAACAACTAAGGAAGAATTGGATTTGTTTACACCGCACTCAGCATGAGCTGATCAATGTGTGATGAACGGACCACATCCATCAGAGGGTATTAAGGCAAGCCACAACGTTAGAGAAATCTAATCTATACCTGAGAAGTCAAACAGGAGCAGTGCTAGGAGTTACTCATTTTACCCTGAGTCCTGGATGCCTGCCCCAGCTGGCAGTTGGTAACAGTTGCAGCTGGGTTAATTGTAAATTGAGGTTTGTTGAGAGAACAAGCAGAGGGGAAAGGTAGAGATAACAAGGAAGATGAAGAAAGACAGTTGAACTTTTTTAAAAGCTTCTTTTGAGATAGGGTCTTGGTTTCTGATTCAGCCTGGCCTCCAACCACTATGTAGCCCAGGCTGGCCTTGAAATGATCTTCCTGCTTCAGCCTCCTGAGTGCTGGGATTACAGGTGTGTGCCACTATGCCCAAGTAACAGTGGAACTTTTGTAGCGTTTTCTTTTTTTTTTTTCCTTAAATTCTTTTATTGGTACATTTTACATATATAAGCATATTCTTTTTTTAAGTGAAAATCTGAGATTTAACCCATGTGGATTAACCCATTTTTTAAAAATTAAAAATCTATTAGCTGAGGCCCTTTAGAGATGAACTGATTACTTCTCCTGGATCAAAAGCAAAAACTAAAAAAGATTTGGCTATCAGTAAAGCCCCACTAGTCTTATGAAACATTGCTATAGACTCTCTATATCACTGAGAAACCTCAGTTCTTAGTTCTGAAGGATTTTGTTCAGAGAGCAAAGCCTGTAATAGTAGGAATATGCGCAATATCCCTGTACTATGTATACAAGGTGATTTAGGAATTTCGGTTGTAAATCTTCAGGGCCAGAATCTTGTTTACACTGCAGCCAAGGAAGGTGAATAGTCTGACAATAACTTTAAAGCCTTTTTCCTTACTTGCTAAGTCATGGGTCCAAAGAGGACAAACAAGTTAAGTTTGTTCTCTCCACAGCCAGAAGCAAGATTTTTACTCAGTTCTTACAAGTACCACAAGCATGTGGAGTCTGCAAAAATTGCTTAGCAACATTACAAATGGAAACAACATGGGTATGGAGAGCAGCCAGAAGTCTGTCTCGGGGCAGGTGGGTGTGACTTCTCTTTCCAGTACAGTGTGTGCTGTTCTCAGAGAAGCATGGAGTTTAAAAAAGCAGAACAGTCACTTCAGATTTCAGTTAGGATGTAGCTGTTATTAACCGTAACATCATGCCTGCCATGTACTTAGTTGGAGGAGGCAGGGCCTAGATTTCTTATTTATTTTGGTACTTCTGTTTTAAAGATGACTGGATTTTTCTAGAATTATTCCGGAAACATTTATTAAGCACCTTCTCAGGGTCTGCTGATCACCGGAGCTCTGAAGACAAAATGGGTTTCCAGCAGCCATAGGCAGGAAGGAAGCCAAACAAGCAAAGTAATGGTGTTCCTGGCAGGGGTGTGTATGTGCGCGTATGCCTGTACATGCGAAGTCAGGTTCTCCAGAATGTTAAGTAATCACTCTTACTAAGCTTTATCCCCAGCCCCTACCACTGAGTCTTTTCAACTTTTTATTTGGTGGTACTAGGAACCGAACCCGGGCTTCATACTGAGCTACATCCCCGACCATTCTTTTATTTTGAGACACTGTCTCCCCAAGTCACTAAGTTGCCTGGGCTCCCCCTTGAACTTTCCATCCTCCTGCCTCAGCCTCCCAGAGTGTGTGTCACCACATCCAGATTGTTTTTAACTTTTTAAAAATTACTGCTTTTCCAGTCATCCTATACATCTGCTGGGAAATACCTCTCCCATTCTGTGTGAGGATCTGGGTACCAAGAATTCAAAGTGCTGGGGACTGTGGACCAAGAACTCTTCTTTCCAGGTGGAATTCAGGCCCTTTTGGCCTGGCGTACTTTGAGGACCTCCCAGTTTAGGGAAGCAGAAAGGTGGAAAAGTAGGAGCTAACAAAACAAACACTGTTAAGAGTGTGTATTTCCAGGAAGAGGAATCTGCTGGGGATTGAAGGGGTAGGTGGGACACTTTTGTAGCATTTAAATTTTTATTATTTGAATGACTGAAAGAAAAAGGTCAAAGAGAAAAAAATAAGTGTAACACTTGTTAAGCTTTACAAACTTGAACCGAATAGTAATTTTCTGTTCAAAATCTTAAAATGACAAGCTTATTCGCAAACCTGCCAATTTAAGAAGCAAACCATCAAACATTTTAAGTAAGGTTTTCTTTTGTTATCAGACATAAGATAAGGAATACCTAAGCCACATCAAAACACTGCAATTAAACAAGATAGAGAAGGTCCCTACCCTGAGGGATCTACCTAATTTTTCTAGAAAGAGATAGTAACAAACAACATTGAGACAGATATAAACCGGTTAAGGCAATAGAGCAGGAAGTTGCGAAAGACTGAATGTTGTGAGTGTTGGGGGTGGTGAGGTTGCATGATTAATAATAGGGTACACAGAATCCTTAAAAAGGAGGGACTCTGGAGCAGAAGTCTAGCTAGGGAAAGGAATCTAAGGGACTTTAAAGTTCCCATTACCTAGAAGGCACACTTTATATACAACTCATTTTACAGATTAATAAAAAACAGCAATTTCCTAAGGTTATTTACACTTAAAATTGAGAAAATTGGGCTGGGGATTTAGCTCAGTGGCACCGTGCCTGCCCTGCAAGCCCAAGGACCGCAGTTCGATCCCAGGTACCAAAATAAATAAATAATAAATAAAATTGAGAAAATGTTAACTGTCCATATCAAAGAGCTCTGTCATCATAAGTGACAGAAGGGGGAAGTGTTAGCAGGAGGGTGCTAGCAACCACTCTGGCTTTGGCCACTGTGGGTCAGAGAAAGCCTCTCCTTAAATGGCCACGTGTAGAGTTCCGGTTCGCTGGAATTTACGTTACCATACAAAAAGACAAGTTTTACGTCATCTAGCAAATGTCTGACCCTTCACTGTATCATCATTTGTGATGTGAGAAAATTCTTCCCACGGTGTGGAGTACTAAATGGTGTTTTCATTAAAAAAATCCAGCTTAAAAAAAAAATCCGGCTTGACTTTAGCCTTTGAAAGGTGCCAACACACCACCAACCTAGCAGTTAATGAGCACAAAGTGCTACCACAAAGGAAACAAATAAATGCAAATGGCCATTAAACCATGACTACTGTCCAGTAATGTGAATCAAATCCATATTAGTAA